CAAAAGTACATCTGAAACGATGCACTGATTCATGCAGGGTAGGTTTTATTGTAGCCACCCTTTCACATCTTTTATTACACATGTCTGCCTGCATTCAACCAAAGTCTAAATCCATGCCCTTTCTCTGAAGACCTTGCACATTACCTGCCTTACAGGAAAAGAGTAATTTTGGTTTAGCCAGCGTGTGTGACTCATTCTGACTCACATTTGTACATTGCATTTCCATCATCTGTTCTATGCAATTTCATTATATATATATATAATATATATATATATATATATATATATATATATATATATATATATATATATATATATATATATATATATATATATATTTTTTTTTTTTTTTTTTTTTTTTTGTGGGTATCAAGACAAATGAAGAAAATACTGTAATGTAACACATCTTTAAATGTGTGGATGCATTATTAATATCAAATGTAAAGAGGATGTTTCAATTCAAAGACGTTTCATCTTCGAAACTTCTAAGGAATAAAAGTCAGCTGTGTCATATTAAAGAATTCGTCCCAATTTAATTTGGCTGAACTGGCAGAACACCGGGTCAGATTACAGTAACAAGTTTCTAGCTGAAAAATGTCTGTTTGTTTTTTCAGACGCAACCCAAGTTAGTCTCTAACATAATGATTAAGCATTGATAGTGTGGTAGATGGCTTTTTCACGTCTCGCTTTCCTGCGGCTCTGAGACAAACAAGAGGGATGGCGTTACAGAAGGACCATCCATCTTTGAGCAAGTCACCCTCCAGGGGTTCATGGAGAACGTGGGCTGAGATTTTTCTTTCTCTTTGTTGCCTGACTGTGTGGGACAACTAATATTTTAGATTGAGAAATTAAAATCTGCCATCTGCATATTTCACATATCGGAATTTGACTTGGCCACTGTTTGTTAGATTAGCAGAAAAGGTCGATATTTACGACCATACACACTCTGATCTTTGGAAATCCATTGACATCAGGATTATCAGTTGTTGTCTGTCTGAGCTATAAATAAAAAATGAAACTTTTACATGTCTTGGTCATACAGTATCTTCTATCCAAGTTAAAGCAAAGATGTTTAAAATCCAAAATTTACACATCCCTGACATCTTTACGAATACCTTCTCAACACTTGCTTGACTACAACATGTACATCTTTTATTTTGTATCTTTATTTATCCCACAATATTAAGTTTGACGGAAAACATTGTAATTTTTTAGTATCTCAAGATACTATAGCCAATCCAAAATAAGTTGGTGAGGACCGTGAAGCTTTCATATGCACTGTACACTGAATAAAAGAGTGTTAATAAATTAAACTGTGGATTTCAGGGCATCTGTTAGCAGAAATGGTGAGAAACAAACTTTACAATTTATGAAGCTAAACTGTCCCCCTGAGCTGTAATCCGGTACAGAATTTCAAAAAACTACAGAGGAAGTGTTAAACATGTATGAGAACAGACCGTTTTAGAGATGTGACTCTTGGCTGATTTTCTAGGTGCGGAGAACTAATCTATTTATCGGATTGTGCTTGATCTACCACCAGCCCTAGTTTATAACCTATGTACATGTCTTCTATTCAAGAAAATCATCTTGGTATAAATTCTCATGTGCGTCCCAGCCTATAGAGTACATTCTGAACGAATGTCTCTGAGCTTTCTGAGTCTCTGTTATACCGTTATTGTAATTTATTTTTTCATTTATGCTGTTGGAAAATTGCTTGCAATGTTGGCGGTGCTTGAATTTTGATTTCTCTTTAAAGACAATGACCTATAGTTGCTCTGATTTTTTGAAAAAAATAAATAAATAAAAAATCTCACACCCCAACATTGAATTAGGATTGTAAATGCTTCATTGCAAGTTAAAGCAAATATTTTAATGGAGTTAGAGCAGAAGAGTAGTTGAAACATCTTACACCTGAAAGTCTATTTCCTGAAAACACATATAAATACATTTCTATTTAATAAAATAGAAATGTATGAATTCAGTTGTTATTCATTAAAATAGTAAGATCATTTTCGGTCAAATTTTTTTGTGTATTTTGTAAAATAAACATGAATGGCTGCTAAGATGAAGCCATCGTTCTCATCCTGAATGTTTGCTATTACCTTCAGAGTCTATTTTTGTAAACTTGATATGGCAGTTGAGACTGCAGTGAATTAAGCGTTTGATAAAATGTTCCAAAAATATCAGCGAAAGGGAGTAAATTATCCAGGGTTTTGATAAAAGTATCTTATGATCCTTGGAAAAGTTTCTTATTTACTCGAGATGATTGGAAAGCAACAAAAGTTATGACATCTCAATGATCATAAAATGGTAGAAATGTGGCGCTTGGGATGGGACGGGACATCCCAAATATTCCAGCACCAACAAAGCCACATTTGAAACATGAATTTTATTTAGTTTCCACCTCTTTGGAATTTCTTCTCACAATAGCAAAATTGGTAGAAAATGTATAAGATAACAACCGTTTAAAGAAATAAAACGAGAATGAGATCTGTACCCACTTTTGCATATTTCCTGTTCACCTTGCATTTATTCACTAGAATAAATATAATGCTGAAGGTCACCAGCAAAAGTTTCACATTTAAAACAATCCAGAAATTTCTGCTTATGTGTGGCTGCATAACAGATCAATACTTCCCCTCACACCAACATCCCACTTTACCCAAGGGGGCAGGTAAGGTGGGAAGTCAGTAAAAGAGAACCTTAGAAGAATGTTAACATAGCAGTTAAAATAACTTTCACATGTTGAAGTTTAGTGCAGAATGTCCTCCATGGCTGCATAACTAATAGTTGTTGTTTTTTTTCTAAATCCAGGGCAGTGACGCAAATTGCAGTTCATGAAAAGGGTTGATTTACCCCAAAATGTGAGCAAGGTCCACTGATGGCTGTTACCAAAAAAGCACAGTGAATCATCACAGCATCACAGCACTGTGATGACCAAAGTATGACAAAAAGTACCATAAACTTGTATGACATATGTACATTTGTACATGCCATTAATAATCTATTGTTGTTCAGACTGAGACAACCAGACACAGGGGGAAAAAAAAGAAAGATATTAATTTAAGCCTGTTTGGGCATATAAGATATTATCTGACAAGGCATGCCGACACTTCCTTACAATGACCACTGTGTACCACACAGCTACACATACAGAATTATGAGGCATAAAGTGCAAGAGGACATGCCTTTCACAAGTTGGTTAATTAGGTCATCATTTATAGACAATAGCGATTGTTTCCGAAACAGAATAAACACATTGGCAGTAATCATAAGCACCCTTTACTACTGTGCCTCGTTCATTTTTAATGTTTGACAAAGGATTTGGAATGTAACGTCATGTTCATATTAAATGATACTCTCCACATTACAAGTTCATAACCTATGTACATTTCTTCTATACTCAGAAATATTGTTTGTACGTTATCTTTCGATTGCATTTCTTTCACTCACGTTTTTGGTCGTTTTGGTCAGTGTGAAACACAGCAGTTTCAAGTGGAGATATGTAAACTCATCCAACTAAATTTTTGTGTTAAACAACCTCAACCTCATGTAATCTGTGGCATGAGAGCTCAGGACATAAAATGGCTCTAAGTCTGTCTCACAAAGCTAAATCCAGTTTCATCCACATCAGGACTTCTGCTGAAGTGAATCTGAGCTGCTGTTAAAAGTCCTGGATAGAAAGGTGACTGCTTTACACTTGACACGCTGTGTTATCTAGGTGTCAGACCTTTATTTTGAAGTAAGAAAAGAAGCAGTTCTTGGGTGGCCTAGTCAGGCTTATGAACTGCCTGCTGTTACGGCTGCCAGCTAATACAAGGCCAGAAAACACTGGAGAAACCTTCATCAACATTCATCCATTTTTTAGTAGCATTTGGAATACCTGATCAAACAAAAAACGTTAGCCATAGCTGCTAAAGTGCTGAAGTCGACATTAGTGTGAAACCAAAGGGGAATATCATTTTTCTAGTGACTCTGGACTGAACTTGATCTTTCTTGGTTCGAAATCTAAAATACTTAGGCTGTTCAAATTTTAAAATGCAGGAATTAAACTAATAAAACCTACGCTGTATGAGTGACAACACTAGACATTCAATGCTTGTTTGAATGTCCAAGGTTAAACCAAGGTTGACTTAGTCCAAGTTAACCTTGGACTAAGACAATCATCAAAATGTTATATCGACCCACATCCAACTTAGACTGAAATACTCTGCACTGATTATAGTTTCTTTAAATCAGACTTTGATTTGCAAAACCTGTATTTGACAGAGAAGACAGTAAAAATCTAAGGCTACGTTCACACATAGAATATAGATGCTTAATTCCATTTCTTTTCTAAAATTTGTTTTTCTTTGTTGACATTACTAATTAAATTTGCTTGTTGTGTGTGAACGGCTTCGACCCCAAAGCAATCTGCAAGGGCAGAAGAACGTACGTATCACACAGCAGCAAACTATAGATACATTTATTGTTGTCGCAATATGGGAGACGGCGGTGTTGTTACTGTATTCCCATTGATTAGCTTCATCCAGTGTCATCACTGCTTAGTTCACATGTTGTTTGCGTCTGGCTTCTTCTAGTGCAGAGTTATGATGCGTGTCTTTCGTCACCGACATAGAAGTCAGACAGAACGTGACATGACACTTCTGACAGCACGCTTTGTCAGATACATATATGACTTAGAGGCACCAATCTGATTTTGTCGGGGTGAAAATATTTTAATTTGAGAGTTCAGACTGGTTTGGATAACTCAAATATGGGTCACATTTTCCCTTTATGTGAACAATAACCTTAGATTTCCTAAAAAATGTTGTTTCATTTTGTTCTTGAGACTTCGACATCTTTGTGAGATGGAAGTATTGTCACACCCCAAGTATCAACTGAGGGATCATCCTCATGAATGATGAATAATCATTGTTACTTTTACCAAAAAATAGAGTTTGTTTAATAATTGTAAAAGTGTTAAAAAAAAAAAACTTTTTGATGCTTCAAACAAAACCCCTACTTCTTTTTCTCATCTCTCTCCAAATTCACACAGCTTAATAGTTAATTTTGACCTGATAGCTTTTATTTCATATCACCATTTGAATGCAAATGAACTATTTTTTCATTGTAACAAATGCTTGAAAGAAAGGAAAGAGTACAACACTGCATTGTGCAGATTTGTCACCAATTTTTGTTTTTGCTTGCCTTAAAACAGGGCCTTAATTCCATACTTTCCGAGTCACCTACCATTTAAAAGCTGAAATGAATGTAAACTCCGACACAGAACAGGAATATCTAGAATCAAATAAGCTCAAAGCTTGAGATGAAACATGGCACTGATTAAAAAAATGGTCCATAGGATCACACACCATGATCACTTCAAAGAGTACTAAATTACATAGTTGGCATTTGTTCCCTGTATAATAAAAGAAACAGACAAAGATCAAAAAAAGGAAAAAATGCTACAATGAAGTGTTAAAAAAACTTCAAAAAAGCACTGTAATGAATGTCCAAATCCCAGGCACAGTTTCACAGTACTTGTTTGTAGCACAATATCCTATACACCTAGCATGCCAAAAAAATAAAATAAAATAAAAAAAACAAGCCCATGGGAAATATTTGTCCTACATTTTTCCCCTCAATAAACTTCAAATGGTTTCTCTGGCCCATGGGCTTATCAGGATAAAAAGTACCAAAACTCCATTTCCCACTCTACTTAACTTCCGTTCGCACTTACATCTTCTGCTGAGCAGAGACACCCTTCCAATAATCAAGGATGTCATGCAGGTCCTCACCTTTAGCAAACTGCACCTTCTTCCGAAGAGCATTTCCAGCTGTCACGTAACAGGCCTCATCACGAGGCCCTTTTCGGTATGGACGGAAGCGCTCCCAGATTCGCAGCGAGCTCTCTGATGAGTACTCTGGGCTAGAAGAGTATCCAGAGTAACTGGAGTGTTGGCGGGCAGGAGAAAGCTGGGAATAGGATGCTGCGTCTCTGCGGGATCGTGTCAGGGGTTTTAGAAAAGAAACTCGCTGGGCTGGGGAGCCATGGTGGGACCCTTGGTAGTAAAGAGCTGGGACAGAATGGCGGTGCTCCGAGCAGTGGTAGTCCTGCTGCACGTCCAGCTGCTGCTGCTGCTGTATCTGCTGTTGCTGATGGTAATGGTGTGACTTCTGGCTGTCCGGATGTTGGGCACCAACACTACCACTGTCGCAACCACCACCCCCTCCTCCACAGCTCCCACTCCCAACTAAAGGCAGTCTCTCCAGCGGCTCCCCGCATCCCACAGGACTGGCTCGGTCTGGGTACTGCGGCTGTTGTTGGTTACAAGCATCTGGGCTTCTTGGTTCAGGAACATCCAGACTGTACACTCGATTTCCACCACGTTCCCTGTCTCGACCTGTGGAGCCACAAGATGTGGTGCTGCTCTGTTTTTTGACAGCATTTGCCATAACAACAGCTGCATCTGCACTCATTTGCCGCTGAATGGGACGTGTAGCTGTGGCCGGGGGAGGGTGCCTGTATGGGGGAGAAACAACGAACCCCCCACCAGTGATCCCTGGTCGCTCAGAGAGAGGGGTGTTTAGTGCAGGCAGGGGTGGAGGAGGCGGTATTTTGTTTGGAGCAATGACCTGACATGTCTCTGTCCCTCCTGGGATTAGGCCACGGGTAAGGGAGGAGGTGCTGGTGGGTGGCGGGGAGTTGGGATTGTTAGAAGCTGTGTGACCTGTTGAGGTGCCTGAAGCAGCGACTGCTGCTGCATCAAGTTTAAGAGCATCAATACAGTTGTTAATAATTTGGTTAACTTTGTCCACCTCCATGGCAATAGTAGAAATCTCTGAGGCAGAGCCGTGCCCATCATCATCTGAATCATCGCCAAGATCAGTTCCGTCATCATCCCTCAGATCGTCGCCCCTTCTCCCGCTATGACCACCATCCCCCACTCTTTCCATCCCAGCCCCTCCAGTTCTCACATCCATATAGTTTCCTTTACTTGTAGCCATTGCTTCAGAGAAAGCTGAGGCCATCTTTTCCACTTGAGGGATAGAGGAAAGTCTTGAGGAGGTCGTGTTTGCAGAATGTAGCAGTCCAGAGCTGGAGGATGTGGACAGTTTTCCACCATGGTGATGCTGATACTGGTGATGCTCCCTGGACTGCTCCTGAAGCTTTTGGACTGCCGATGGATCATTTGCAACTGCTGCTGCCACCTCTGGTCCATAACGCATTTCAAGAATAGTTTTTTTCACAGAGATGGACTTTTTCTTCTCATCATGCATTCGTTTTTTACGAAGACAGTAGTAGACAATTCCTATGACAATGAGCATGCCAAAAAGGCAGCCTACAATGGTCATGATGTAGTGAGTAGTGGTTGAGGGAGTGGGGAGCATATCGTCCCGATTTTGGCCTCGCGTGGTAAACTGGAGACAGGTGTGGTTATAACGCTGAGAGTTACGGACAGAGCATACACAGAAGGTGTAATTATTGCTGGGTCTAAGCTTGTCGAGAGTTATTTTTTGTATCATCAGTTTCAAATTGGTGACGTCAGATGCCATTGAGTAGTTGTATTGTGTAAGAATATACATTTTGCTGAACGGTCTTGGAATTTTTATAATGACCGAGGCAGAAGACGAAGAAACATGTTGGAGCTTAATGCTTGGGCTCAAGCTGTCATCTGTGGATGAAGATGGTGGGGTGGGTTGGTAGTATGGCCCAACACCACCAAACATGTCTGGTCCAATCCCAGAAGGACCATCAATATCTGGTGGCAGAGACGTCATTCCTGGAATCATCACACCATCCTTGCAGCGATGGTTCAAAATGTTTTTGGCATTACGGCCACTGTGGCTTGAAGAAAAAGAACTCAGTAAAGGGTAGCCAAATATTTCCCTTGGTGTTTCACACTGGAGGCGATCGTAAGTGTGTGTCACATTGTTGAAGGATTCTAGCCAGCGCAGGAAACCTAGAAGATCGCAACCACAGTGAAATGGATTTGCAGCCAGTTCACATACCATCAGGTGGTTGAGAGTTGTGAATGTAACCGGATCGATGTGGGCGAGTTTGTTGGACGACAGGTCAATGCTGTTGAGGCTAGGACACTCCCAGAATGCATTGTTTGCAACAACTTCAATGAGGTTGTGCTGTAGGAAGAGGCACTGCATGTGACCAAGGCCTCTCATCATGCCTTCAGTGATATTCGTCAACTTGTTGTAACCCAGTTGAAGAACCTGAGAGAAAAAATAAATAAATACTTATTACGGTAGTTTTCTTACATGTGTTAAACTGCATACCTAAACTAATGGAAATAAAAACAGCTTGCACCTTAGATAATACAGTTAAAGTTACGCTCACACTACTGAGAATTACTCCTGATGCATTTAATGTTTCTTTTATGCAATAAACATTTATAAAATTAATCAAGACAGTACTTCACCATTGATTTCTATACATTTTCCAGTTAGATTTTTCTAAAAATTTAAGCAAATATTTTCTTCTATCAGAAGATAAATTTTTTTAATCACCTGTAAATTGGCTTGTGATGCAAAAGCGCCATCTTCAACGTAGCTGATTTCATTCTTGGTTAAGTTGAGATCGGTCAAGTTCGTGAAGCGGTACATGGAACTGTAAAGCACAGCTTTCAGCTTGTTGTCATTCAGCCTCAAGTCATGGACTGTGTTGTTGATATGCTGGGGGATAGTCTCATAGGGAGGCTGGTTCTGACTGCATATGGCTAGCCAAACATAGCCTTTGTCTCCTTCAATAAGCCAGCAGTCCCCGTTGGCCATGTTGGGAAACCAGGAAAAGAAGAGGAGCGAAAAAAGCATAAGAGGGAGGAGAACTGAAACTGTGGAAGCCCGCTGCATGATGTCAACAAAAAGAAAAAGGTAAAGTGCAAAGGTTATAATCGGGGCAAAGACGAAGAAGGATTCGATTGTAGGAAAAGGAAAACCAGAAAAACTTCCAAAAAAAAAAAAAAAAAAAAAAGAAAGAAACGAGCCTGGGTTGGGTGCTGAAGAAGGAGTGAGGGATTTAAAATGCCTGTGTCAGCATTATGGTGATGAGCAGCAGATCCTTGTTATGTCATAATTTCTTGAACTACAATTTGAAGGGAAGCAACTTGTCTTCATGCTCTCACTGAACTCTTGAGATCTGTGTAACTCAGTGGCATGCGACCTTGGAGTGATCTATAGAGAAAAACATAACACAAGAAATGTATTAATATATATATGCACACTATGAATTTTTATACGAATCAGTTTTTATATGTACTTATTCTGAAAAAAGAACAAATTCATTTTTGTGGGATGAAAACTCTAAAACAGCACCGTATTCAATTTTGCAATGCCGAATAATACAGTTTAAACGCACAATTACTTTCAAAAACAAAACCTTCTCTTAGTCCTTTTTTCTGCCACATTTTCATCCTTATTTGGTCCTTGATTACATAACACTCACCAACACATTAACATCAAACCTTTGCTGATAACTACAATGGAATCTAAGCAAGAGCCAATATTTAATCTGCACAGAGAGAACATTTGTCAGAAAAACATGGAGTATTAATCACCAAAATGACAGAACATCTTCTTAGATATTTCTTCCTATAACACTATCCTGCCAAAAGCATAAACTCCAAAACCCATCTACATGATACTTGAATAGCAGTCTAGCATGTACAGATTAGTTGCCTGTTGCATCAGAGCACACATTGTCCTCTTGCTTGCTACTAACACACAATATGCACAAATATGCAAATTAAAATAAGCATATGGTTTCTGGGAAATGCTTGCGAGACTATACAGACATACTCAATTATACTGTATGCATGTTGTTGGATAACATCACATGGGAATGCATAAAAGCAAAGCTATAGGCAAAGATAAACAGTAGAGTATTAAGTCTGCACCTCCTCATGTGCACCAGGAAAAGGTCAAAAGTCTGCTTGTACTCAAAATTCACATTTCTTTCCAATTCCAGCTCAAAGAACTGAACTCATTACCAGCTATTCTGGTCAAGGGTCTCCAGAGATGCAAGCAAAGAAATCAAGTTCATCGTCATTTTCAGTCTGCTTAGTACTCCTGAAAACTGCAAACATTAATTAGGACCCTTTTTGTAAATGTCCTGATTTCAGGAGGAGAATGTGATCAGATTAAAAGTGCTGAGACACCAGAACATTAAGAAATTTAAACTACTGGCCTCTTCCACAGCTTCCAAAATAAATCTTAGCTCAAGGATATCCTTAAAAATGTGAATAATTTGAAATGTAGGATCAAAAACCTGCACTAGTACATATACATTTTTTGGTACTATAATGCTAAATGGTTATGGATAATTATTTCACATTAGTTAAATATGGACTTTTTCCAACTATCTGCAACTTTCCATTTTTAAATGAATATGTTTATAATAGGATCAGATTATTCTGCAGTTTGCAAGCAGATTTTTGTGTAAATAATTTCAAACGTCTGAAGATACAATTTGTATAAGCAGAGCCATTTCATTCAACATTAAAATGTATTTCAGGATTGATGGGTGCGTTTATGAAATTTTTTTGTGATTCTTTCATTAATTCATAATGGTGTACTATTTTGTGACTACTATTTTTATTTTGAAAATAGCATAAAATAAAATCAGAGCTACAAAATTAAAGTGCTTGAAATACATACTTAAAAAATGATGCTCAAAAACACTGTTATTAATGTTCATAAATAAATAAAACTGTGATTGACAAAATAAAACCCCATTTAAAAATAGAAGTATTGCTGATATTTTGAAATGAGCTTTTATTTCAAGGGGATATTTATTTATTTGCTGGAGTACTTATCAAGTAATTTTGATAACAGAATCTTTCTTATTTAATTTTGAATGAAACATTTTTTTCATATTTGTACTGAGGATGGATAATATGTGTTGCTATTCACCTGTTTCTCTACTCGCTAATGGAGTAGAGAAACAGAGTATCACAAACCCAAAAACAAATTTCAGCACACTCTCTTCAAATGCATTGTGTTGCTCTCATCCCCTCCACATGAGACATGATCTCATTTGGTGCTCTACATAGCAAAACCCAAAGGGTTCACATGGGGGACATAAGAGACACCGTATGTCTGAACAAACTCATGTTTAGGGACGTGATTACATAATTAGAAATATGGGACGAGAAGAAATCTACCCCAAGAAGTAACACTTCTTTGGGTAAAGCATTTTCATAGCACGGACACATTTTTCAAAAAATCTAAAAATGTTTTTTTCATTTTATTATTAACTACATTTTAAAAGAAAAATAGAAGTAGTGTACCTAATGCAACTTTTAGTTTGTGTTTTAGTTTTAATACCAAGCAATCACTGAGGCAAAATGTCTAATTTATGACATTTGCTAAACCTCAAAATGTTGTAATTATTGGAGCTGAATCCATTGTTGAATACTGCCTTTAGCTTTCTTATCTCACCATACCACAAAGAAGTGTGTTGTTCCTCTTCAGGAATACAAATGCCAATAGAAATTGTAAATGCATTATAGTAAACATGAACAAATTGCAGCATGTCACTAAGGTGTTCTTTTTTCTCGGCAGCCATGTTGAAGTTGAAACTTCAACATAAAAAAAAAATAAAAAATTCCCTTCTCACCCACCGCGGGTGGTTCTTATCCTCTGAGCTCGGGTCCTCTACCAGAGGCCTGGGAGCTTGAGGGTTCTGCGCAGTATCTTGGCTGTGCCAAGAACTGCACATTTCTGGACTGAGATGTCTGATGTTGTTCCTGGGATCTGTTGTAGCCACTGCTCCAGTTTGGGGGTTACTGCCCCGAGGGCCCGATGATCACAGGCACCACTGTGGTCTTCACCTTCCAGGCCCTCTCCAGTTCCTCCCTGAGGCCCTGGTATTTCTCCAGTTTCTCGTGCTCCTTTTTCCTGATGTTGCAGTCGCTTGGTATTGCTACATCTACCACAACGACTTTCCTCTGTTGTTCATCCACAACGACAATGTCCACTTCGTAGCAGCTGGTTCATTTGGGCTGCCAGTCGCTCATGGAGGGCAGTGAGTGTCTTTAGCCAATAGGCATGGATCATGTCAGGCCCTGGTGCTGTCCAGTTTTTCATACCTGAGACTCTTTCAAATATATATACATGATTGGATTTAGACCAAATTAAAACAAGTTTTTGTTTGTCTCTTTGCTAATCTTTTCTTTTGGGGACCCACAGACGTTAGGAAAGCCACATCACATTTGCTGCGTCCTGATGCAGATAAACATCTGGGTCACTCAGCGCACAAGCTGCGGTTATTCTTCACAGTTGCCATGGAAACGGATATGATTGACAATGTCCATTTACTCTCATGCTAAGAGAACAGAATGTTGTTGACATTTGCATCAAATCAGCATGTCTCTTCCAGTCCATTACCCACAATGATAAAACTCTCCTCCATGAATTCTAATAGCTTCCAATAAGCCTTGGCTGTGACAGGTGGTAGAATTGGAGGGGGTCTGTATTGCCTCTACACTATCACCAACATGACTCTTGGAGCAAGGCCACTGTCAGCCTAAATGTAAATTCACTGGCTGGTTTCCGTCGCGCCTCCAGTTGCATATGATGCTGTCATTGCGAATTGCATCGCCTGTGAGTTAAACGCTGTGTATGAAATGAGGTGCTAAAACAAGCATTTGTATGTGTGGGAATGATTGGATATTGTATTTGATTAGTGTTCACAATCTGTGTGTGGTTAGTGGTTGGCCTGTTGTACAATAATGCATTGGCAGTGTCCCTTTAAATAGTTTTACATGGGGACTGTACTTGTATGAAATAGGCAGAAAATATGAGTTTGAAATGTGATTCTTCATTGGTTACATAAAGACTGCCATGTCATTTGCTTGTACAGGTTTAATATAGGACAACACTGAGGCCTATCGTGGCACCAGTATGGAGAAGAAACACAACACCCACCTTAATCCCAAAATGAAGTTCAGTGTGGGTACTGAACAGATGCAGCCTGTGGACAAAATATTCACTGGAAGTGGGATTCTTCAAATTGCCTATTTCAATTGCCTGTATAAGTTTGATGGAAGCACATCTCAGGGTGTCAGAAGAGGCCTTATTTCAGATGCAAATAAACCATCTAACCTTGTAAAGGCAGCACGGTTTCTCTGTGTGTGTGCATTCAAATAGATTTGAAGCAAAAATGTAAAACACTATTTGATTTGAAATAGAAAGGCAAAAATATATGTGGGCAGCTTGCCGTGTGCTGCTTACAATGAATCGCCACATGAAGTTCTAAAACAGCATGAACTTAACCACGTGGGATCCTCTGGACTTCATAAAACAGTACACGAACAGGCCATTTACCCAATTTATCATGAATAGCACTCCATTTATTTCCATACAATGACTTTCAGGAACATTTCTTTTTCAGCCAACTGACAGGCAGTGCTCAGTAATAAATATCTGAGTGCAACTATGCATACCATATGTAATAATATATTTTGTGACTATAGCACAGAGTGAATGTAGAGTTTCGCTAAGGATATAAAAAGATCCTGTGCTATTATTATCCAGGTGCTTTCAGTGTGTGACCTGATCTGGAGCATTTAGTACCTTTGATTAAAAGTGGATATAAGAGTGACATGACATAACTGAGCCTTTTTTTTAGACTCTTACATTGAAATAAGAAAGGAATTTTTTTTTTTGGTCTGTGCTTGTGTTGAGAAAGTCCTCAAATAAAGATTACCAACCAAAGTTACTCCAGACATATTGCAAAAATCTATTTTTCCTCACTAAAGCCTCTATAATATGTTGTCTTGTCCTACACTTAGCGTGTCATTATACACCTAGATTTCATAAATACACAAAAGCATACACAGTCTGCTATAACCACTGTTGTTGAAAGCAAGACAAAACAAAGAAAATAGCTCACTGGTCCTTCACCTGAACAGCTAATAAAATATCCTGGTAAGTATTTTTAAATAAGATTAGACAGCCTCAGGGGATAAAATGCCAATTTCATATCTGCCTAGTGTAAGTGATCCACACCAGCATTCTA